AAAAAATAAAAGGGAAAAAAATCTGGGTCTTAATATATCAAAATAAATATAAATATTTGCTGTGACTTTAAAAGCCAAAAACATTTTAAATGTTGTTTAAAAAATCTTATCACCATTTTGACATAATATTATCATTATTATAATAATCCGTTTTGCCCTTTGAGCACAATTCATTTTTGAACTCTCGGAAATTCTGTTAAGGGTTTTAGCTGGTTTTGGGATGGCACCACTCGTAGGTTCCTTCTTCCTTCCTTTCTCCGTCTTGTTTCTGTCTATCTTGCCTATTCCCAGCACTATAATAAAGACCGTATTCGCTTTGACCGGCTTCTTTTGTACCCAAACAAAGAAATCTGAATAAGAGCCAGGAGCGGGTGGTTGAATAGCACCACTGGTAGGTTTATACTAATTCTTTTTTTCCCCCTTTCTGTTGTTTCCATCTGTCTTTTCTCGCCTTTTCCCAATATGACCGTTATACTGTTGCACAATTGGAAGGTGGTATCTCCAAATTGTTTTATTTCTCAATATTGCTATGGTTTATTTGTTTCGATCCGTTTGTCTTGCATTTTTTTCAGCCCTAAATGGCGGTTATTCGTTATTGTGTTGATCTGCTTCTCTTTACTGAAATAAAGAAAACTGAATTATAGAAGCTGTGAGAACAGGCTCAGACTCACATTATAATTAAGTAACCCGGTGCCTCTTTTGAAAGAAATACCCAAACGCTCTGACTGCGGTTGTAATGGTCTTTTCAAAGCATTATATAATTAAGTCCCAAACGCCCTGACTGAGCCATAATTATAGAATGTTTTGAAAAGCCCATTACAACCGAAATCAGGGCGTTTGGGTGTTTCTTTCAATAGAGGCACGGGGTTACTTACTCTGACGTCAATATCCCGGTTTGTTTCAAAGAATCAAAGTTGCATTGGCGGTCATATGACCTTATGCAGTTGCGAGCGCCGTAAAACCTCTACTAAATTAATATAAAACATAAAGTTGCCGATACGTCAGATCAGGCAAGATGTAGTGATGTGCGCGTGTTTACACCCATCAACGTCATGAGCAACAAAAAATAACGACAACAACCACAGCAATCGCAACAACAACAACAATAACAACAACAACAACAATGACAACAACAACAACAACAACAACAACAACAACAACAACAGCCTCAATAACAGCACCGCAACTACAATGACTCCCTCTGAAACAGTAATAAAGATATCAACAGCAGTAACAGCAATAATGTCAGTAACGAAAGCTCGAACAACAAGTACAGCATCACAAACTACACAAACAAATCACCATCACCACCACCACCACCACCACCACCACCACCACCACCAACAACAACAACAACAACAACAACACCAACAAAAACAACAACAACAGAAAAAATAATGAATAAAAAATAAGCTGACAACTAATTAGCCGATAAAACAGCCTCAACAAAAAGGTCCAGATCCTTTGCCATCAATATGAGCTACTTAATAGCTGTAAATCAATTCAACTACAGTTACCGAAATGAAACAACAGGCTTTTCAGAAATTAATTCAACTACTTTTACCGAAATGAAACAACAGGCTTTTCAGAAATTAATTAAACTACTTTTACCGAAATGAAACAACAGGCTTTTCAGCTGCTTTTTGATCTACAATATTTGCAGGCACAGAAGTGCGATACAAAGTATTGTATTATTTATTTCAACCCATCGACACATTTTATATCATTTTGGAGGCCGGCTGCTTTGTCCGGGGCTTACTCCGTCTGCATATGACGCGTCTCAATAGACTGATCGTTACCTCAGATTTACAATGTTCTATTTGACATTTGTGGCTGTTTTGAGTTATTAAGACCATAAGCTTGGCGCGCATATGACCTTATGCAGTTGCAAGAGCCGTTAAAACTTCTACTAAAACAAAACTAAGACCATGAGGACAACCCCCAAACGTTCTATCTGCTCTGTCAAAATCCTTTTTTTTGAAAATTCGGAGTCGTTATTAAGATATTCAAAGAATTCATTTCATTTGAAAAAGCTTGACGTGCTGTGAAACTCATAATTCATAACGTCAAAATTCTCTACACTGGGTACTGAGGTACTGATGAGCAGATAGAACATTGAGAGAGAGAGAGAGAGAGAGAGAGAGAGAGAGAGAGAGAGAGAGAGAGAGATAGAGATCACATACGATACAACTGACGCCATTCCAACGTGGGGAATTCTTCTGCAATGAGCTTTATCGTTACACTCCTACAGTTGCGCTTGATAAGAACCGTTGCAAAGGCTCAAGGGTACAATGGTTAAGAAAAAAAAATGTTATTAATTGTTGAAACGATTGTTTCCCCCAGTCCCCCCCCCCCCCCCCCAAAAAAAAAAATATTACAAAAAAACAATCAGTATTTTTTATCACTAACTTTCTTGTTGAAAATCTCCATCAATCAATCCTTGTCTTAGTAGGAATACATGGCGAGGTGTAATTGCGTTTTCAAGTCTCACTCTCTCTTGATAAACGTTATGAGAGAACGACAACAAAAGTGGCACTGATGACATAATAAT